GAGCCCCGAGGTGCTGGACGCCGCCGAGCTGCTGCCGCTGCCCCGGCCCGAGCCCGCGCTGGCCGCGGCGCTGGCGCTGCTGGCTGACCACGACTGGTGCGTGCCGGGCTGGGCTGGGCAGGGCGGGCACGGGGAACACCCAGGGAAATGAAAATTCACCTTTTCACAAAGATCGGTAGGGAACAGCGTTGGAAACGCAGGCGAACCCAGTGGAATGAAATGCTGATGTCTGACTCAATTCAGAAAGCTGAATGATTTCTTTATTATAACTATGCTAAAATACATTAATATACTATATAAAAATGAGGATACTAAAACTACATGCTACTTTCTCTAAGTCTAACACACCTCGTGCCCCTCTCCAGAGCCCAGCCCCAGGTGGGTTGGATCGGCCACCAGGCTCAAACAATCCTCACCAGAATCCAACCAAGCAACACCCCAGGGAAACAATTCTCCACACACATTCCACATGGGAAAACAAAGAGCAGAAATACAAATTACTTTCTCTTTCTTCTCTCTGTGCACCTCTATGAAAAATCCTGAGAGTGAGAGAAATGTGCTTGCCACAGAACAATATGTTTATTTATAGCGCTGTGGACGCATGTGGGGACTCGTTTTTTAATGGATGTGCACACTTTTGAGAACTTTTGATCTTTTCTTATTACTCTGACTAATTTGTGGAATAAAAGCATCTCTTCGGTGCTTCCCGACTTGGGATATCCTTACAGAGCTGCTGCCTTCAGTTTGGGGAAGGAAATAGATCCTGGAATTGCCACTGGTGCCAGCAGTGAACAGAACTGTGGGACTCTGCTGAGAGGCTGCAGTGCTGGAACAGTCCCACAGGAAAAGACAGATTTGCTTGGAAAGAGTTTCCTGCATTATTTCTTGGCTGGGAGGGTGGGCAGCCCCGGCACAGAATTCCCAGAGCAGCTGTGGCTGCCCCTGGATCCCTGGCAGTGCCCAGGGCCAGGCTGGACACTGGGATTTGAAGCCACCTGGGACAGTGGGAGGTGTCCCTGCCATGGCAGGGGTGGCACTGGAGGGGATTTAAGGTCCTTTTGAACCCAAACCATTCTGGGGGTATTTCTCATTGCTTTATTTTACTGTCTAATTTGTTTGCTATTTGATTCCTTAGAATTTCACATTTTAGTGAATATTTTAATGAAACTTGACAAATGGATGGAATTTAAGTATTATTTTTTTCACACAGGGAGAAGAAAATTGAAGGTCTGAACTTTGTCAGGTGCTTGTCTGCCTACCATGCCCCTATCCTGACTGCAAAGCTCCACGAAACAACTCTGGCTGTGGCTCAAGAGGTTAAATTTTCCTATCACAATATTCCACTGGCTCTCTCTGTGTGTATATATGTATTTTACAGCTCTCTGAAGTGATTTATGCTCACCTCTGGTGAGTTTTCCTCAACTGGGCAGTCTCAAGGATGATTTGAGACTCAGAGGCTGAGAAAATGTAGATTTTAACTTTATAACATTTTTATGAGTGTGTATTTTAATTCTCACCCGTTGTGAATCAAGCTAGAAATGTGTTTCTCAGTTGCTTGTAATGTTGCTTAAAAATGACAAAGGGCAAACATGAATATTTATTTTAAAGTCTCTCTGATAAACATTATTCATTGTTTTTTGGGTTTTTCCTGTGTGCAGGTCAAGAATTTACGCTCAGGTGTTTCTCGAGCTGCTGTGGTCTGTTTAGGGGATTTGTTCACCCACCTGAAAAAGAGCATGGATCAAGAACTAGATAATGCAGTAAAAGTCCTTTTGCACAAAGCTGGGGAATCCAACACTTTTATAAGGGAAGAGGTAGACAAGGCACTGAAGGCCATGGTTAATAATGTGACTCCAGCACGTGCACTTTGTTCTCTTATAAATGGAGGGCAAAGGTAATTCCTATAAAGACTTTATAAAGAATATTGTGAATAGAATAAATTTATCAAATGTAGGCTTTTTAACATCAAATCAGAGTACAGTAGACAGAAGTTTGAAAACGAGTAAATCAGCTGTGCTAAACCTCTACCCAGGGCACTGTTTGTTGGCATAAATTGAATTAAAGCCCCTCTGTTCCTTTCTGTGCACTATGTAAGAGGTTGGCTGTTGATTTTGGAGCTTGGTGTATTTTCTGGCTGTTTTGCACCACTTCAGTGATTTTATTTGCTGTTACTGTATATTCCTGGGGAGCTGCTGTTTTGCTTTGCCTGGTAAAGCTGGCATAATGTTCTTTCTTTTCCTCCTTTGCTCTGCAGTCAGTTCCTGCCTTGGCCAGTTTTCTGCACCCCTCTTTATTTAGAAAACTGATTTATAACTTACAGTTCTCTAGCTGCATCTGTCGTGCTTGATTCCTCCTCTCTAGGCTGAGCCTTTGTGTCTGCATTTTAATTTCCTTCCAGTGCTGGTGGCCATTCTTTTCTGGAGTTAATT